CATCAAAAAATAAATTGCTGCGGATTATATGAAAGTATTTGTTATACAACAAAGGTTTCAATCTTGAGCTAGTTACTTAAAGTTAAAGTAATGTTAATGTAGAATCTGGGCAATTCATAGTTAAATGGCACTTCTGCTATTAGAGTGCCTGGAAAGAAGATCAGCATCAAATATCAGCATTTAAGGTTAACTTCGTTAAAATGATACCATTTTTTGACTTGTTTTTAGATGAGTCATATACCACTAATTCATAAAATAACTCTGAACTCTAGTTTCATTTTCCAGCAGGGTTTTAGACTTCTCATTGCAAATTCAAAGGCAGCTAAATGTTACCATGCATTAATATATGGAAATTTAAAAGAACCCAATCCAATATGATGAATTTTCCAGTTACTCATCCTATTAACAATGTTTTCCAATTCTTTCCAAAATTTGGTATCTCATTCTAAACTTTCTGACAGTGAGAACAATCAACCAGTGGAACAACTTGCCCACAGAAGTTGTGGGAGCCGTCATCTCCTGAGACTTTCAAGAAGAGATTGGACTGCCATTTGTCAGAAATGATGTACGATCTCCCACTTGGGCAGGGGGTTGGACTAGATGACCTATAAGGTCCCTTCCAACTCTGATTATCTGTTATTGTCTTGGAGAAAATCTATTTATCTGGTTGCTAGGACTCGATGTTGACTTGATGGCACATAATTAGTCCTGAAGTCCTGGGGGAGGATGAAATACATTGAGGAAAGTCAGAGTAATTTGTTTCCACATCTGCAATTTCCCTGCTCCAATTTATATTTTTATTGGCTTTCCCCTTCTGCACAAAGTTCAAATATTTATAGGTCTGGAATTGGGAACCCCCAGGGAGAAATTTGGGGGGAGGGGGGGAAAATGATAACAAAAAAGGTGAGAAAGAATTAAGCAGATTTTCTCTTTATTATTTCTTAATTGAAATGGTTCCTTAATCAAACATTGTGAATCTGGGTTATTATATGCCTATGCCATGTGGAATAATTGTATCCAAAGTTCTTACTGATTAAAACTAATATCTACCATGAAGCACAAGTGTTAGAGGTAGGATGTTAAGAAGGAACACCACATGGAGCTGATCACTTGTCAGGGTTTCGTTGGTTGCCTTTCCTTGTTGGGCATGACAGCTGCTCCCCCAGCGTAGGCCAACAGAACTGCTTATGCCTATGATCTTCTCCCTTGGTTTGCCTATAACAGGGGTGTCAAACTGGATTTCTTTAAGGGCTGGATCAGCATTGTAGTTCTCCTCCATGGGCTGTGGGGGGCAGAGAGAGGGAGGGAAGATGGGATAGACACCTCCTATAACACCCTGTTGGCCAAAATGGGCCACGGGGCAGCCACATGCGGTCCCCTGGCTCCCTGTTTTTGGCCTGGACAGCTTCCTGCAGCACTTTGCCAGCCAAAACAGGGTGTGGGCACCTTTTTTATAGCCTCTGGAGCCATGGAGGAGCTTCCTGCTGCCATGGAGGAACCTCCTGGCCCAAAATGGGCTGCACAGAGACCTTGCTGGCCAGTCCTTTAATATTTCCAGGCTAGCTTCGCAGGCCAGATTTAAGCACTCCACTGGTCGGATTTGGCCCACAGGCTTTGAGTGTGATACTCCTGGCCTCTAAGTCAGAATTTGGGAAGAAAGAGATGGCCTGTCTTCCATTAGGAGAAAGAGATGAATGAGCAGTTATTGGACTATTAAATGGAGATCTTAGGAAAACCTGAAAGCCTATATATATTATTCTATAAAAATGAAAGGACTTTTGAAAAAAAAAAAAGACAGATATGCTGCTGGGCTACCAAACTTCAATGAAATAATGACAGGGCAAGGCTGTTCTTGAAATAAGATGAATACAGAGAAGTTTCCTGTGCTTTCCAATTTAGCAGACAATTATGACATGTATTTTGATATTGCTTTCCTTCCACAGTTTTGAGTCTGAACAGAGAACTTGCATTGAGTTTTGCACTAGTTATCTGAGAGAGTGTACCTGTAATAGCTTCATTAAATGTAACCTATGAACATAACAAATGTACAAGAAAAGCAAAATACATTTGCTGCCTAGCTGGCCTTTGATTTCAATACCATTTAAACTATTAAGTACCTTTAAAGTGTAACTTTCTATTTATAGAATGCTCAGCTAAAACTTAAAAACAAATTCATATACAACAAGTTCTTTAACCATTCAAATATACCAAAATAGAAGTGACAAATACATACCTGCAAGGCAGATACCTAAGTGGGCCAGTTTTCTAGCACCGGGATCACAATCACATGATTTGGGGGCACTGCAGTGGCCAGAAAGACCAATTATAAGTACCACCGGTTCAATGCAATTGAAAATTGTGAGGGTTGCTGAATGAACAGGTGTTAAATGCGGACTGTATCTTCTGTTTCCTTTTCTTCTCCAATTGTGGATCAGAATGGAAGAATTTTGCAGATGGCACTGGGCCCAGAAAGGAGCACAATGTTTGCTGATGCAGCTGATGGTACAGTTGGTGTCAGGAAATACGGCAATGTGTTAGCAACTGACACCTTTTGAAGTGTGACTGCTTCTTTTAATAAAGATCCATTATCTCTGTGTTGGTTTTTGTAAGGAGGTAGCACAGAGTGCTGCAAAGGATTGTAGCAGAAAATAGAAAGCTATGCATGCTATGAAGCACACACTTCATTCATACAATAAGCCTTTTCTATCTGATATCTTTGGACAATGCCATAAACTTGCTGAAAGTGCATTATTTTATTCTGGTTTAAATGATGTGCAGGCCAGTGAATCCTGCAGCAAATCAAAATCTGCAAGATGGCAGTCCCAAAGGTGCTTTTTCAGGAGGCAACTGCACTTCCTTGTTTTTTTCTTTGAAGATGTTTCACTTCTCATCCAAGAAGCTTCTTCAGCTCTGACTGGATGGTGGGGAATGGAAGGATTTATATTCCTTGCAGACAGCTGGTCATTTGCATCCTTTTAGAGGGTCGTTGAAGCACTTGGAGGTGTATCTGTGTCCACAGGGTCGCCTGAGTAGTGCTCCTGCTTCCTGTAGTCTGCAATCTTTTCCCCCTGGAAATCCATTCCTACTCTCGCACCATTCAAGGGTGTTCATCCCAAATTGTATAGCTAAAAAGTCTGTGGCGATTCTCAGTCATCCAGGTCATGGTTGTCCCAAAGGTGCTTTTTCAGGAGGCAACTGAACTTCTTTATTTTTTCTTTAGAAGATGTCTCGCTTCTCATCCATTTCATGCCTCCTGAAAAAGCACCTCTGGGACAACCATGACCTCCAAGTGTTTCACCAACCCTCAAAAAGAATGCAAATGACCAGCTGTCTGCAAGGAATATAAATCCTTCCATTTCTCACTATCCTATCAAAGCTGAAGAAGCTTCTTGGATGAGAAGCAAAATATCTTCAAAGACAAGAAAGTCCAGCTGACTCCTGAAAAAGCCCCTTTGGGACAACCATGACCTTGAAGGAAATAAATATTACATTACTTTTTTATAATAGAATTAGAAATATTAAATGCATTATTAAGCTGTGTTGTCTTTGTTACTGTATTCTAACCACAAAGTAAGTTCAGTTAAACAAAACATGCTGGATAGTTGCAGATGACTTAGAGATAATAAGGGGAGTGGGGAGGGCTTCTTAGACGTGGCGTGCAGAGTGTATAAAATTTATTGTTTAACCATTAGATCTTGCTCTTCTTATACCCAATCCACTTTGGAAGGGACAATGTGCTATTTTTACTTCAACATTTAATTAAACAGACGTGGAACCAAGTGGTGGAGGGAGGAAGATTCAGCTATCAAAAAGAACCATTAAAATTCTTTTTGGTGATCATCTAAAGGTGATCATCTAAGTCCAGAGCTGTTTTGGTTTTCTTTGGTTGCAAACTCTTTTTGCGCGCATTGACTATGGATTGGTTGCAAACTCTTCTTGATATTGACTATGGATTGCAGTCCTTCCCATCAGAGTTGTACCCGATGCAATCCAAAAGCAGGTGCCATTTCTAAGCACCCCCCACAAACTGACTAGCTGTCAGGCTATGGACAAAAGTAGGGCCACCTGAATCGAGGGGCCCATCCTGTAACACTATATTGTCAGTCACTTTATCTTGTCCGTCCATGTGGTTCATTGGTAAAATGCAGGAATGATTTATCATTGCCTTCTCTCGTGGTATGAAAAGATACTTTTTCTATTGCCATTGTGCTAATTATCTACCTCGAGCTTCAACCTGTATCACTGCTGTCCAATATAGGTGCTTGCTTGCTTTAGCTGAACCAATGGGATGATCTTCATGTATGGGATGACCCTGCTGGGAATATACACTTGGTGTACACTGCCAATGTTCTTTGCTCATCCTTCTCAGGAACATCCCCCTAAATCTCCTCATTTCAGTGGACTATGTAGCACCTAATTGTGCACAGAAACATCTGTTAACTGGTCAAGATTCAATGGAGTCACAAAAGAAAATGCCACATTCCCTGAGGCTGTCAAGGCAGTGGTTCTTTTTGTTGTTGAAAAAGCTGTATCCCAGGACCAGGAAGTCAACTTATTCAAGATTATCATGCCATAGATTTCATATTTTTTTGGTTCTGCAAATGACACTTAAGAGACAATTTATTGATATCAACAAATTGGCTGCCAACAGTTGGAAAACTATCTTAGCATTCATAATTTTCTTCTTGCAGAGGAGATTTTTCAGCAAGCAGGTAATGCAAACACTGGAGGCCGATAAACTTTCTAAGCAGAAATTTCTAGAAACCTACTTTAGTACCAATGGACCGAAAATTAAAACTGGTCTGGAGAGGCCGAGTTTCAGGACCAATCTCAAACCTTTATAGTATAGACTCTGTAGCCGGTATAGCTAGCATTGAATGAGCTGCCATCATTCTCTTCTCCATATGTAAAAGGGAAGCTGTAAGGCAGGGACCGAGATGGGAAAATGGATAATTAAGCAGTCACAAGCTAACAAAAAAGCTTTCTCAAATATTATTCAGTCAATGTGAATTTTCATCTATCATGGTCTTTATCCAGGAGATATAGGTGTCTGTGAGCTGAGTATAGATGCCAGGATTTTCGGGTTGGTCACATCTTTTAACAAAGGAGACAATGCCTCTTTGCTTTCCACTGCATATCAAAGGCCCACCGCTATCACCCTGAGAAAAAAGACACAGGGGGTGTGTTACCATTCACAAAAGCTAATACAGTTCTGCTGATGTATACAGAAAAAGCAGAAATCAGCAGTTAGATAACCCTAAAGATACCAGACTTGAAATTTTAGGCCTAGACAACCTAGAACTATGCCGCCTTCGGTCCGACCTAAGTGTACTACATAAAATTATCTATTGCAATGTCCTACCCGTCAATGACTACTTCAGCTTCAATCACAATACAAGAGGACACAATAGATACAAACTCAAGGTTAACCGCACCAAACTTGATTGCATGAAATACGACTTCAGCAACAGAGTGGTCAATGTCTGGAATACACTACCTGACTCTCTGGTTTCTTCCCTAAAGCCCAAAAACTTTAACCTCAGACTGTCTACTATTGATCTCATCCCTTTCCTAAGAAGTCTGTAGGGGGCATGCATAAGCCCACCAACATGCCTACCGTCCTAATGTTTCTTTTTATTTGTATCCATTTCATGTATTCATAATCATGTTTGTACTTATACCTGTTATCTTATACTTGCTTGACAAATTAATTAATTAATTAATAAAATAAATAAATAAAATAAATATATTTTTTGGTTTTCCTAGGGTCACACAATTGAAATTCAATAGCAAAATAACAACTCTGGCTAGTAAAATTTTTATTTACGTGTAACAATTTAAATGTATTCACTTTCAAAGAAGCTTAGTAGAGTTATTTTGCACAAATCTTATTTCTCCCATAAAATAGAAAGGGGCAGAAAATGTTGCTTCTCCCATACCCATGGTATCTCTGCACCAATTCTGGGGTCCTTGGAGAAAATAATAACTAGTGGAAGAAAAAAGTTTCCTGTGCCTAAGACATATCACACCCTAAATGGGGATGTAATGTATCATGTTCTTAATTTAATGGATTCTGAGCAGTCTGCAACACTGGCTTCAAAATGGCAGGCATGGTCACGTGATCAAAGCCTCACCCATTTTTAATAGGCAACATCTCACACATACTAGAGACAGGGGGATGGGACTTCAAGTTCCTCATTGGATCCACTGTTTTGAAGCAATGGACTGCTGCTGTGAATTATCCTGATGATTCATTAGCCAAAGAGCCAGATGGTGGACTCAAACCATGTCTTTCCTCACGTGGTGTTAATCATTTTAAACAGTTTCTGCAAGGCCATCCCTATGTGTCCCTACCAAAGGTGGTATTCAGCAGGTTCTGACAGGTTCTGGAGAACCGGTAGCGGAAATTTTGAGTAGTTCGGAGAACTGGCAAATACAACCTCTGACTGGCCTGTACCCCATCTATTCTCTGCCTCCTGAGTCCCAGCTGATTGGCTGGGTCTTCTTTTGCTGCCCCGCACAGGAGAACAGAACTGGAAAGCAGGTTAGTGGCATGGGAGGGAATAGGATTTTGCAGTAACCTTCCCCTGCGATGCCCACCAAGCCATGTCATGCCCACCAAGCCATGCCCACAGAACCGGAAGTAAAAAAATTTGAATCCCACCACTGGTCCCTACAGATGACTAAGCCTCCTTCAGTTGATCAGCAAAGAAAAAGCTTGTCTCCTCTGTTTCAAAGAGGACAGTCTTGTATCTGACAGGGTCTCAGATCCAGGCCAATGTTTTTTAAAAGAGCCTATAAGAAGAGATAGTGGGAACCTGACAATTGTTTGATTGTTTCAATTGTTTGCACTTTAACAGCAGACACTGCAATGACCACAAAGGTCCCATGGTTACCTACTCTCATGTAGGGGTGAAATCAACAGTATAATAATTCTTTCTTCTTAAATTCACAATATTATTGTGAGGATATACCTTTCTACATAAAAAAATATGCAATTCGTTTGATTAACATTTGTATCAACTCTTTCATTCTAATTTTTGAAAAAGATATTTCCTACTCTTTATATATGTAACCATATTTGTAGCCTCCTCCAATTCTGGTGGATTCTGGGCAAAGAAAAACAAACATTTGAAAAGGATATGAACAATAACAATAAACAATCCTTTTACACGATGGCACCATTCATTTAGCCTAAGGGCCACATATCTGTTGGAACAATGCTGTTTTAGCTTGTATGAAAAATACAGTGGAACCTCCAGTCACAACTGTAAATCGTTCTGTAACTTCGGTCACAACCCAAAGCAAAACTAACTGTTCATGTGCCTAAAAAAAATGGCGTGGAAGGAAAAATCAGTGCAGAAATGGAATCTGCCACCCGATTTTTGAATCATGACCCAATTCAAAAACGTGGAATTTTTGGTCAGAACCCAATTTGGTCACGATCAGAAGCATTTGTGACCAAAGGTTCCAATGTACTTGTAGACTAGGGGGCCATCCTTGTCTCTAGAGATAGTAATCATACAACAGGGCCACAGCTAAAAAAAGTGGGTTTCCTGACCCCTTACTCTCCCAGAACCACATGGGGTCTATAGAAGTGATCTGGCAAGCAGCCTTAATCAGCACAGAGTTATCTTACCACACATAAATCCTTCCGGCTGTTCTTGTCTCCAGCACACACCATCTTCATTGTCACAAAAGGATGAGAATTATAATGTTTCTTGTCATTGCAGATATTTCTGTCAATGATGGTAACGTTAATTGCACGGAATTTCTTAAATCTCCTTCTTTTACTAGTAGTTCCCCATCCTTTTACTGTGCACATAGTTCCTGGTTTGAGATCATGGGTAGAGTTAGGAAGTGGGAGGACGTTTATTTTAAGCTTTGTTGCCATAATATGGAGCTGGTAAAAAAAAAAAAAGTTCACTTGAATGAATAGGTTTTGAAAAAGGCTGCTGATTATATCACTCTCTAATCTATCTGAGATTTGTGGGAAATTAATCTTCTTTTCTTACCAGTTGGTGCACTTTCCCATTTGAATAAAAGAGCTTATTTGGGGTCTGCAGATGAGAGGTAAATCTCATATTCCAGTGCTGAGATAGGTAACTCTTTTCTGCTATAGATCAGAGATAAATCTTTCCTCTTCCTTAATGCTGGGACAGGTGAAATGAGAAAATATGGGAAACCAATGGAGCTGGGGAAAGAAGTATGTAAAATGGAAATCCTGAAAATTGTATTTGGCCTACAGCCCATGAATTCCCTTGCCTTGCTTATAGCACACCCAGAAGTAACTGATGGAAGTCAACGCTGGTTCCAGATAGCACATTGGTATTTCTCTAGAAAAGAGTAAGTACTTCTTCAGATAAATGCTCTAATATCCCCAGAATGCTCACCATATTATAGCTATAAATAATTACTTTCGAATGCCTGCTAAGTGAAGGAGATAGAAGTTGAGTAGTCATATGAAACAACATACAATACATTTTTGATAATGGAGTTTTAGCAGGCCTACCAATTGCTCTTACAAATTGCCCTGGTATTATAGTTTTTGATGTATTCTCAGGAAATTACTCTGCAATCTGAACAAGCAAGAACTCTCTTGAGTGATAAGCAGGCCTGTATCATCCCGACTGTGGAAGTTCCAATTTTGAGGTCTTGTAGAAGTTAAAGTTTTTTTCACTTCCATTTTTTCTTTTTCATTCTTCACTCTTTGGTTCTTATTTTAATTATGCATTTTGGCTTCTTGGCTCTAGTAATTTTGAAGTTTTTAGGTTTTTCATCCTATCATTTTACAGCAATGATCATTCCTGATTTGTTAAACCTAATTGGTTTGATTATTTTATTGCGTTATTGTTTTATAGAATTGTAAACTAATTGGTTTTGGTTCATTTTGTTTAGTCAAGAGCCAGGAAATAAATAAGTATAAATTTTAATTACACACTGTTCAAGGATCATGTCATATCAATAAGCAGAAAGCTATAGTTTTTTCTCAGAATGTTCAAAATCAATTTACAGATTTACCTTCAGAAGCATAATATTATTTTCAAATGTTTTTGGATTAAATCCTGGGTAAAAAAAGACTTTAGTAATGTTTATAAAACCTTTTCCTTCATCTTTAATTATGGCTTGACTTCCAACACCTATATATGTTTCTTCATCCCTAAAAAGATAAGTTAGAGTATGTAGTAATTCAATACAGTAATATTTGTCTTCTTATATCTGTCCTTCCTCCTACTTTCATACGAAGGTTTTGTTCGGGCATTTCCCCCCAAATATCTCTCAATGTTTGAAATTCCACTTTACACAGCATAATACCAACCACATGTCTGGGGGACTACAACTCCAAGCATCTGGAATATGTAGTCACTATCAAAGAACAATTTCTGCCTATCCCAAATCCTTGGGAAGGATTCGATAGGTGGCAGAAATATCAAATCCAGCCTGGCTGACTGCACAATAAACCTTAATACAGCAACATTAACAAGAATAATTGTCTGTTTGCATAGCTAACATTGGGTTTTTTTGTAGCACTCAAGATTAACTATGGGCCAGAAAAAAGCCTTGGAGTGAAATACATTTAGCAATTTAACTATGATGAAGCTACAGAAATTTTTTAATACAATTTTAAATTTATTATTAGATTTGTATTGCCGGCTATTCGCCATGGCGAATGACATTGGAACACTATTCTTCCAAAAATGTCAGAAAATTAATGTCACTTTCCTTTCTTCTTAGAGTATCTTCCATTTCACATTTCTCACTTACATTGGGATTTCTACACCTTGTGATTTATTGACTGACTGTCTGACTGATTGATTGATAGATAGGTGTTTAGCAATTGTGTTTCTCTGAGTTAACTTAAGTCCTATGGGAGGTAACTCTTTCTAGCAATTTATATTAGAAATCAACTCTAGATATCTGGCTGGAAAATGTCTAACAGGCTTGGCTAAAGTATGCTTGAATAGATGCAATTGCAAGAATATTTTTAAACAATTTTTTTTTGATACTCACGGAAAGCAATGGGCTGCTGTTAACACCCAATTATGTTTGATGAATGTTCCTGCACATAATAAATGTTTGTGTTTGATGATACCAACCATGTATGGTATTGAATGTTCTTCCTCATCAAATATATGAGTAGATTGACCTATGAGAAAAGCCAGTTGGATCAGGTTGAATAAGCATATCATACTATGGATCAATGATCACCTAACTATTGAAGAGTTCCATTCACTGATTGTAATCACATGCAAGGAAGAAAGTAAATGAAGATGATCACACTAGTTCTGCTTATTCTGTTTTCATGTTTATGGTGAAGTTTTGGTTACTAGAATTCATCTGCACAGTTTAGAACCCTGCCAATCAAAATTTTAAATCATATAGCAAGCACAATAGAGAAGTCTTTTGGATGCACAAATTACTCTATATGTGCAAAGGGTGACAGAAGAGGTTAACATTAGAGCACTTATTTCTTCGATCCTTATATTTGGGATATTTTTCAGTTATAATTGAGGGGAGTATTGTAATTTTAGATTTCATTTCACAGAGATTGTGTCATGGGAGATCTAACAAAATGAATGTTGGGGAGGCTTGTTCATATACAAAATGGCAGCCAGTTGCAAACCAGCCATTTTACAGAAGGAAACAAGTGAGGTTGCTTCCTGTCATAAAAGGCTTCATGTCCCTGTGTAATAGTGGGACATCATTCTTTGCAAGACAGTGGAGCAAACCTGTTTTGAAACAAAATCTACATGTTTCAAACATGTGATAGTTATAATCTTTAAGCCACTATGAAAGAATATTATCAGAGAGAAATGCAATGAAAGTATTTTGCATTTGGATACGCAAAATTCACATGTATGAATAGCAACCTCAAGTGCAAAATGAGTGGAAATTCTTTGAAGCTTCATTGAAATACTTTTCTACTTTGGAGAGAAAGTAATCCCTTTGCTCGAGGTATCAGCAGGATCCCATGCTTTTACCAAAATGATCAATAAGTCAGAATAGAGCTGGAAGGGACCTTGGAGGTCTACTAGTTCAGGGGTCGCCAACCTTTTGGACCTCAGGGACCACCAAACTCATAATTTTAAATCCCATGGACCAGAGACCCTAGGAAAATCATCAAAAAAGTCTGCAGGAAAATTTCCCACCCCATTTTCCTACCGATCGATCATTATTTATTTGGGATCACAGAGTACCATCTTCAGCTCCATTCTCAGGGAGAGAGAGAGAGAGAGAGAGAAAGACTTTGGCTTCATGCAAGGAAAGCAGCAAAAGCAGCAGAAGTCTTTCTTTCTCTTCCCCAAACTATGCCAGAAATGAGTCTTTGTGAGACTTGTTGTGCCGGCGCAGCCTCTTGGAGCAGGATCCCTTTCAGGGTCCCAAAGACTCGTTTCTGGCAGAGTTTGGGGAAGAGAAAGAAAGATTTCTGCTGCTTCTTCTGCATTCCTTGTATGAAGCCAAAGGCAGAAGAAAAAAATGGAAAGAAGCAGCCTGATGGCCAGGCCAGGATCATGGGGCGAGTGGGCCAAGTTCGCCCTTTCCCCCCCTCCTCTCACTACCTTGTGTTGTTCTCAACGCAAGCCTTGTGTTCCCGTGGGCCATGTGGGAGGCACAGCCTTGTTTTCCCGTGCAGCCTGGATTAATTGCTTTGGGGGTGGCATTTCTCTGCGGACCACCAAAATTTTCTTGCGGACCATCAGCAGTCCCCAGCCCACTAGTTGGTGACCACTGTACTAGTCTAACCCCTGGTCAAGCAGGAGACCCTATACCATTTCAGGTTTCTGTTTATTTAAATCCCCTTGTTCCCATTATGGCAAACCTCCCATTCGCCTTTGAACAATTGCTTTTGTGCAGTAAGTAAAGTGAGGAAGATATATTAAAAAAATAACACTTACCCCTCTGGTTTCTGAGGAACAAAAGGATAATAGAAAAGCACAAAACAAACAAAAGCTCCATAGGTGCTACTTTGAGTTCATCAACAACAAGATATTCAAAATATACTGAACACATAAAAAAACCCAGAATTCATTTGCTAAATGCATTCTTGGCAAGTTCAGAAATATTCACTGATAATAAAAAGTCTTTGGAGAAGGAGATGTCATTTCTAGGCAGCAGAGTTTAGCAAGGTGTACAATGGAGAAAGAGAAAGAGAGAGAAATTAGCTGTAGCTATTAGAGTTGTCTCTCACACACAAAAGGGTAGGTTGCAATACTGTAGGCAGAACACTAATCCTGGAGAAAGACTGAACAAAAGTCTACTAGAGGCCCACGTGATTATGACATCAACATTCTATTCTTCCAGCAACTTCTGGAATTGTGTGATGGGATGAATGTTCATCATTCTTTGGGACAGATCTTTGGAAGACGACATCAGTAAAAGCTCTGGAGGAAGGGCTTATATGGTGCATGCCACAGTGGGTCAACTGGTGACAGACTTCTTTCAAAGAAGAACTTTCTGTAGAAGCTTACCATGTAATAATACATAAAAGGGATAAGCAGTGATTCTGTTTTTGTGAGAATTGTATATTTGAACCCCATTAATAGACATCTTAATTTAGACATTCCAGTGTATTCTAACAACTGGTGATTTTGTAGCAAGAACAAGCTAAAGTAGGTAGATTTGTGTACAGGAGAAATACAAATAAAGATTCTTTATTAAGAATCTTTATTAATAAAGAGGTTTGTATTCTGTTCTCCTATTTTCTTGTCATTGTGAAACCTCATTGTTTATTGCTTCTTGACAATTAGTGAGAAGGAGATGAGGTTGGCAAACAAGATAAGCATAAAACATTTGCACAGAAAATTTTATTTCAGGTTATTGCAGAGTTAATTAAAGTAAGAACCACCATCAAAAAATGAACGAAAATTCTTAGAAATTTGCTGTTGAGCACAATTTAGGGGAAGGGTCAAATTGTCAACATTCAAAAATACTCCTAATTAGCCATTTTATTTATGTAATCAGTATAGAATCATGTGAACCAACATAAATAAGTAAAAAAATAGACTAGACTAGACTAGAATAGAATACCTTTATTGTCATTGCATTCTACAAATACAATGAAATTTGAAAGCTACTCCAGCACAGTGTCCCAAATACCACATCACAAACACACTACAGAGTATTTAAAAATTAAAATAATTAAAATAATAATTAAAAACCTAGTCTAAAACCTATCTAAAACATATAGTAAGTTAGATAATTTAAAAATGCCACTACATACATAGGGCTAAATCACATATGCATTGTTTGATTCAAGACAATTATTGCCTTGGAAAAGAAACTGTTTCTTAGTCTATTAGTCCTCATTTTAAGACACCTATAATGCCTCCCTGATGGTAACAGTTCAAAATATGAATGTCCAGAATGAGAACGGTCTGTGGAGATTTTTAGTGCTCTAGAGAGGAGTCTGGTCTTCGTAATCTCTTCCAAAGAAGAAAGAGAGCAACCAAAGATATTTTGTGCTGTGTTTATAACTCTCTGGAGCATCTTCTTATCCACTGCAGAGCATCCAGCATACCACAACGTTACACAGTATGCCAAAATGCTCTCGATGGTAGAATGGTAAAAAGTAACCAGCAACTTCTCACCCAGATCATTCTTTTTCAGCAGCGTCAAAAAGCGCAGGTGCTTTTGGGCCTTCTTTGCAATGGCCATCATGTGGACTGACCAAGTAAGGTTGTCGGAAATATGAGTTCTTAGAAATTTAAAACTATGAACTCTTTCCACACAGTCTCCATTGATATATAGTGGGAGAGGCTCTGCTTTGCATCTTCTGAAGTCTATAATCAATTCTTTGGAGTTTTTGATGTTCAGGGTGTGGTTATGACTCTTGCACCACAAGACCAGTCTGAGAACCTCTGACCTATAGGCCGTCTCATCTTCTCCTGATATAAGTCTCATCAAGGTGGTGTCACCTGCAAATTTTATTATAGAGTTAGTGGGACAAGAGGGAGTGCAGTCGTAGGTGTAGAGTGAATACAAAAGGGGGCTCAGCACACAACTCTGTGGAGAACCAGTGCTGAGAACAAGAATGGAGGAAAAATAGCTGCCAATCCTAACAGTTTGTGGTCTGTTAGTAAGAAAGTCCTTTATCCAACAGCAGATGTGAGAGGAGAGGCCCATTTCTAGCAACTTCTTAATCAGTATATCTGGAATGATGGTATTAAAAGCTGAGCCATAATCAACGAAAAGGATATCAGATGAAAATGCTGAACAATGTTTGATGCCTTGGAAATAAAGAGTAATTAAAAACCCATACAGAAGGATTGATTATTAAAAGTTTCACCAAACAATGTTATTTTCACCAGCCATTTAAAAGTTAATCAAGGTAGGATTCCTTGGTTGGGAAGTGCTATAAAAAAGCAAAGTATTCTCCAATTTCACTTATCTAGAACACAGGTCATGGGACTGGCCTCACATTGCAAATTCTGGAAAGAAATTGATAGATAGATAGATAGATAGATAGATAGATAGATAGATAGATAGATAGATA